CATACAAAAAAATTTAATTGGTATTTTTTCACTTACTTGGCTGTCGTATTTGTGCAAATGATATATTCGACCTCATCAGAGTATGGATTGATAAAAGAAAACGCTGAAGTTCTAAGCCAAACCCAGTCACGGTTCTTTGCTCTAAATCTATACATGACAGATAAAACTTGGCCCTTCAGCTTCAAAACCTGTTCAAAGCTTTCCCGCATGTGAGTATGATCCTCAGGATGGAAGAACTCATAGCATGGATGGCCAAGAAGATCAGACGGTGTATATCCTAAAATCGTGCCTACCCTCTGGTCCACGAAGGTAAATTTACCTTCTACAGAGTGACGAGAAATAAATTCTGAAATCGAAATAAACAAACGTTGAAAAAAATTTTTGTAATAACAATTGACAAAATGTTGTGATTCATAGAGGTTTTTTGAAAAAAAAAAAAAAAAATTTTTACCGTTATTACTACTAGATCCAGCCAAATCGTTCGTATTGGGTGTGCTGGTGACCTGGAGCCGTCCAATGGCGACGAGACAGTAGTGAGAATTAGCACCATCGTCACCGACGTTGTTGGGTCCACCTTGAACGCCGCCACGATCAGCCATGCCCACACCTGCGGGGATACATGGGGACACAAAATCGCCTAAGCATATACAAACAAACAAATGTGATAAAAATAATCCATGTTATTTTTCGCTCGTTTAACGAAGTATTGCCGTATCTTGGGGATTAATAGAAAAAAAAAATATATATATATGTACATGTATTAACAATCATTGCATTTATTGGCAATTCGTTTGACAAAGCAAAACTCGTACTAACCAGTAGGGGGCCAATTTTTAATGTAACCAGTACAATGAACGACAGCAAAGTTTTGACCGTCGCGTCCTGGTGGTCCCAGCGAGTTGCGCTGCTTCATACGCTGAAGACCGTGCGCAGCGGCCATGTCACCGCTCGTCTGCAGATTTCCCACCTTCATGCGACAGATGAAGCCACGCCTCGAGCCCATGCTCAGTCTCACTGAAGCTGTTGAGAGCAGATTATATGTTAAATAAAAATAACCACGTATGTACACATATTATAATGTAGATATACTACTAACACTGATGGCCCTCTTTCTTGACAGTGCCGGTTTTGAGATCAAGCACCCTCCCAGCGTGGTCGGGCTCGGAGGTGCTCAGCTGTTCGCGCACCTTCTCCACATCGTCCGGATGCACCTGATTGTACAGACTAGTGCCGTACCAGTCGCTCTGCGAGTAGTTGAGCACCGGGCCCACCGAGTCCGAAACGTATATGATACGGCCGGTGTCACAGTTGACCACGAAGAGAAAACCATCTGCTGCCTCTAGGATTAGATGCTTCAACTCTTGGTCCGTGAGAAAGGATGGCTTGTACGTCCCGTCGTTACTCGTGTTTCCCGTACCTGTGACCAGAACGATTCAAATATCCAATGTAATATTTACAATATACTGTTTTCATTTCAATCCCTTGAATAATTATCGCCCCTTCATGCAGTAATCAGTGGGCAACGAATCACGATCCTAAATTTGTCTCCATCAGTATAGATTTAGTATAATCGTGTGTTCGATCACGCAAGTGACGGAAAATCGTTCAACAATAACAAATTAATTACTCGCATATACGTGCAGTGATGGACAACAACGGAGACGGTGATCAAGAGAGAGGGACAGACAGATAAAATAAAGAGTAACGAAAACAAGACGTAGGTATAATTTAAAAAAGAAGATGGGAAGGAGACTACGATACACAAAAAGGGGGGGGGGAGTGCGAGGGTGTACATGGAGGCTCTCTCTCCTCGTGGCGTATCGCTGCTACAAGATCGGAATCGCCAAGTGAACTTCACTGCGGGTGAGAGCGAAAGAGCAACCGTCCGGTAAGACGAGAGAGAGAGAGAGAGAGAGAGAGAGTAAAGAAGGGGGTCGGGGGAGGAGAGAGAGAGAAAGATGCTATTGCGGCCGATGTATGCAAGAAATTCCGGGAAGAGCGGCCGTAATCTCGGCGTTTTCATCCCGTACACCCGAAACGAAGGGAAGGGGGGTGAGGGGAGAAAAAAAAAAGGTCGTGGTGAAAGAATACGACACAGGGGAGAAATAGAGGGACGGGGACACCGGCAGATTGACTCGTAAAATCGTTCGTTTAAGTCTCTGCATGGTGCACCACGCTCTCTCAGGTGCAACACACACGTTACACACATATACATACGTACGTCAGGGGAGGGGGGGGGAAGAGAGTAATATGGGAGGGAAAAATTTCAGCTGATTCGTATTCGGGAGGCGCGCGAGCGCGCGCGACTATATAAAACAATCCAAAGCTCTGTGGCTTGCCCTTCACCGGAAACGCGGGGACCGCGTTGTGCAGGGCTTTCTTTCGTATTCCAGAGACGCCCGGGGGGGGTATAGGGTACCTTGGCATTTCCTGGAGTGCGCGACGAGAGGGAGCAAAAGACAAAGTACATGTAACATAATATTTACCTCTGAGGGCCTTCATGTGGGCGACAGCCATGCGGAGTATGGTGAGCTTGTCGGGCTTGCGGGCCAACGCCGAGCAGGTCGGCACCATGTCCGAGAGCTCGGTTATGTAGGCTGTCATCTTGTTGCGCCGGCGTCTCTCGATCTCGCAGTGGTTTTCCCTGCTGCTTGACAAACAATGGATCAATCATGTATCAATTGATCATCTTACACATGTATGGTGATTTTAATGTCACACTAGTTGGGAATTATCATCGCACGATATTATTTACACCAAGACGTCGGTATGCGTGCACTTGCATAGGAATTCACCCCTACTTACGTATTGTGATGGTCAAGTTCGATCTGAGAGAAACCGCGGCCCGGCTTTGATTACGCGTATCTACTTTGCGACCTCACTCGCATCACCATAAATGCACGTCCGCGTATCTCTTAATTGTTATGTCGTGTGTACAATGTATATTATGATATGAGAGTACAAAGTCTTGCTATTATCTCTATTTTAATATACATGTACATACATATTTTCTTTTAAACAGCGTAAGTAATTAAAAGTACAGCGATCGAGCGATTCATGACCGGACTAATACAGGATGTTCGGGTACACCCATTCATATATATTATATTCATCTTATGTTTCTGATTGATGAATACAGCTAAGAAAAAAAGGAACATTTCCGTTACTTTACCAGTAAAACATCAAAGAAAAACACATTGAACGACCCTTTTAGATTTGTGGAGAAAAAACATAAAATAAAATAAAATAAAATAAACCCAACAAAGATGAAGAAAAACAAGAAAAGCTCAATTAGTTTGAGCTTCGTACGCACACACACACACACACACACAGACACGGCAAAAGAGAAGAGGAAAAGTATAAGCCGGCGAGGAAGAAGTACCGAGGGGGAGGGTTACAACGTTACAAGTACACATATAAATATATACAGCATCAGGAGTACATCCACACACATACACATGCAACTCCTGACATGTAGTGTAAAGAGTGCAAACGCGGCGGTGGTGCATATGGCACGGGCTCTCTTGACCGGCGTCGTACTTATAGGTATACCTACGTCCCGCAGACTTGTTCCCACGCTGTGGGGGTACGGGGTACGGGTATATAATACACAAACACACACACACACTCACATATATTATAGAGACGGCGCGCAGCGCGAGCGAGTGCAGGTCTCTCCTTTTTTTTGCTCGCGGAAAATCTGCAGCACTACATACACACACTCGAACGAACGCTCAGCTGTATCTTCTTTTCTCTTCTTCCCTCTCTCTTGCACGTTATTTACACGTACAAACACACATATATATATATATACACCCTAGACGCGAGCAAGCGGGGGTGGGTATGGTCGAAAGGCGCACATGGCTATCGTGGTGTATTGTGATGTATGAACCGGTGTACATATATGTATATATTATATACATCGCAAATCACGATCGCGAAACGCGTCAACGACCCAAGAGTCCTTCGCAAGAGATGTTTATTTTTTCTTGCCCCCCTCCCCCTATTGTACGGTGATACGAGGAGGACCCTGCAGCGCAAAAAGTTTCGCAGCCGATTTTTCGCGCGCGCGCGCTCGCCTACTGACACGCTTTTCTTCTTCCCCCAAATGATGATCATTACGTGCTTTTTTTTTTTTTTTTTTTTTTGTTCCTCTTCTGCGCGGCGCGAGCTGTCTTAATAATCGTCACGGAGCTCGTTCGGGCGTGCGAGCATGAGGTGTCATTTGAGAGGTATACATACATATATATATACACATAAACAGGGAAAGATGCACAACGTAATTGACATAATGTGTCGAGGCGGCATTTAATTACCTGGCGAAGCGGTCCTTGTCCTGCACGTTTTCGTCGTCCATTCTTCTGTACTTGCCCGAGCTCGGGTCGTCCTCATCGGATCTGTAATCACACGCAAGTCGGGACGTACATTAATTATCATTCGTATCACCTTGTTGATCGTGCCTTTTTATCGATACACGTATACATGATTATATTTTATGGGAAACACCTTGCAATCAATCGTATATACATACAGATATGAGGTATTTGGATTATGTCGCTATCATCCGTACGATGATGAAATTTAATTGTTCTGTACCTACTGGGAATTGCAGTATAGTCTTGTATGAGAATCACTACACTCAATTTCGTTATTTTATTAACTATAAGCTTTTTTTTTGCCTAGAGTAGGAAATTATTGTAACACACCGGTTCTACAATATAACCTCCGGTGAGTATATCCGAAAAGGAAAAAAGTCAAACAACGACGATGCCGCGCTCGAAAGGAAAGCCAATGGTTAACTAAACTGCAACTACCGGACACGGTGTCACGGCTATGAGGTTTACCTCTGTTTTCGAAATTTCTCCATTAGGTGCCTTTCCCCCCCCAGCCCCTCCCTGAGAAAAGGGAACGACAGGGGTTGAGGTTTTCAGCTGCGAGCTTTTCTCACCTGCGACGGCGGACAATGAAAAGTGAATATAAAAAATTCCAAGGTACAGGTAAAATGCGTTTTACCCGCGATCTACCGGGTGTTTTTTTTCACGCATCAATCGACTATTCGTCTATTTAACCATTGACATCGGTATATATATAAAAAAAAAAAAAAAAAAAAAGCGTTAAAATTATGTACGTATAGTGCGTATAGTGCGGTGCTTGGAAAAAGGAAAAAACCTTTCAGCAAAGCACGTGGCTGTCCCCATGTATATACTATATATATTTTTTTTTTTTTTTTATATTCATCATCGCCCCTTAAGGGCTCAGACATGGCTATTTTGACACCATAAAGTGTATTTAGCCATACGTTGGGTTTAATAACAGTAGGAGGAAACGGTAGATGGATCGGTAGGTTTATTGAAGTACAACTCCCATCCAGAAAAAAACCTCATTCAATGATGAAATTTTTGTCCAGAGTGGGATTTGAACCCCGGCCATCAAGATCTGTAGGCAGACACGCTACCGACAGAGCCATCATGTGGCTCATACTATATATATATATACAATACCCGTGCATGATCGGTATATATGTATAGTCGCGGAGCAGGGGGATCGAGAGCGCGGCACAACAACGGTGGTGGGGCAACGTGTGTCACGGGCCGCGCATCCGGGTACAAATCCAACCCCGTGGAGCTTTTGTTTCTTTCTTTACAGTTTTTTTTCTCCCCCCCCCCCCGCGTATAAACAGTACAACGAATGATACAATTTTTAATCGTACGAGTATCAGCAACGGAAAAAAAAGGCAGGAACAGTTACACGGAGAGCAATTTTCTTCGCGCTTGACCGAGTTAGCGTCCAAAGGAATTAATTTGGGGAGGTGGGCAATCAGAGCCACAACTAAACTGCTCCGATATCGCACGCGCCAAACCACTGGAATAAACGTACATGCCTATACATATACTTTATTGCAATTCTTAAGATTGAAACAGCGAGATTTCGTAGCGGTAATAATTGCCGCCGTTCGTATAAATATTTGCTCTGTGCAAAAGAAACTCTTTATCGCCGTGCTCGGCGCGCCTAATAAGTCCTAATCATACGCATTTGGCGCCCCCTTCTCTGCATGTGTTGCGAATAATAAAATTGAAAAATCAACGATAGCTAGGTTAAAGAGAGAGAGAGAGAGAGATTACGGAAAATTAAAATATAATTGCTCGAGAGAGCCGGAAGCGCTGATGGGTACAAACGTAAATGTATATGTATACTCATAATATGCGTGTACACGCACTAGGAATGTCGGGTACCTAATACACCTATGGCTCGAAAACCCATAGCATATTACGCCGAGAGAGAATCTTCGTATGGTTTTACCTACTTACTTCTCAACCCCCGTACGGCTTGATATATATATATACTCTCTAATCGCACCACCGCGTGCAATGCAAATATACACGCACACACGGACGAAAAGAAAAACTCACACGTGTATACCTATATATGTGCTCACGGGCAGGAATATATGCCTATTAAGAGAGCGCGCATCTGGCTCATAATCTCTCGCGAATTTCGAGCAAACGTTACAAGTATACGAAGAGAGCTAGGATTCCGCTGATGCGTATGTGTAACATATACATTATACGTGGCCGGCCAGATTGTTATCATCATTACGAGATGGTGCACTGCCGCGAGGTACAAAACCCATGTAGGAATAATATACGGTTCGTATGGTACTTAGGTGTACCTACACACAAGAGTTCAACTGCATGAATATGCCCCATCCTAATGTACCGTGTGAGAAGTGCGTTGTAGGTTTGTACATGTGCAAAAAGTACCTATACACCGTACCACATCGGACGGGAATGTCGTGAACTCGTGGCTGTATTTTTAGGTACTGTTAATAACTTTTTGCTCACATAAATCGGATGGCTTTTGACGTTTTTATTATTATTAAGTACACGATGACGATACCGATCAACGCACCTAACGTTAATTATTTTCAATTTTGCCCAACGGGCGGTAGGTCGTTAGTGATCGGTGGCCTACAATTGCAAGCTATTGTGTTGTTTTTTTTCTGCACGCTCACACGCGACGATAACAAAATCACCGATGGCTTTATTTTCTTATCGTCGATGTGCATACACTCGCGCGCACTGAAAATTCACCGGCCAAGTGTGGTAAAACAAAAAAGCTTGAAAAAAAAAAAAAACGTCGGAGTCGGAGAGGAAAAGAGCCGCACGAGCAAACGACACGTACAACTTACGTTGTATTATGTATACTTCCGCGTGCGCTCGACGCGGCTCGACGATAATAAAAATAACAATAATTATTGAAAGACGATGCAAAAAAGATGGCCACGACGGGCACGTCGCGTTACGGGACAATGACAGGCGTAAGATGTAATTGACTCTTGGGCACTATTAGGCGAGACAATAAAGGAGCCGAGATATCGGTAGTTGATCGGCGTCACTTTACCTCCTTCTCTTGGAGTTCGGCTGGGGTGGTTGTGCCGGAGCGGACGACAACGGCAGGGAGGTCAGGGACGAGTCCTGTTCCACCAGAGCCGACGAGATCGGATGGAACTGATTCTGCTGGGGCTGGTGATGGTGCGACGGATTATTGGCCGGGTAGACCAGCAGGTGAGGCGGCGGTGGGCCAGCCGAGCCCGAGATCGGTACCACCAGTTGATGATAGGCGCTCTCGGTCGGGCCGTAGCTCGAGGCTGCCTGGAGGCCCTCGTAGGTCCCGCTGCTCCCGGCTGCACTGGCTCCGTACATTTTTTTCTGTCGCGGTTTGACGTATGCAGCAACAAGAACGACAATCGGAGTCCACTGCACTTGGGTATATATTGTTTGTGATGTGTCACTGTCGTCACCTCGCACGTGTCGCCGTCAAGCGCTTCTTGTGACTTTCGGTGGAGGCTACGAGGCCAGTAATAACAACAAGGGCAGAGTTCGCGTCGGCCAAACCGTTATTGCCGGATCGGAGCAGCATCGCCGGACGATAATGTGTAAGTATCTCCTTGCAGGCTCGAACCAGGCACTGTACTTATGTATCCGCACCAAGTTATAATAATTTGTACGTATGTTATGCACTCGAGCACTATACAGTGGTTGGTCGAATCGGATCGGTAGTGTGTAAGTACACACCTATGGAGAGGTAATACCGGTCGCCCTTAACACTCGCCACTGACTGCCCGGTGCCCTCTTCGCCTTCGACTGTGATCCTTCACGATGTACCGACTCCGGCCCTCTCTCTCCTCGGACTGTGCTGTACCCCCTCCCCCTGCGCGCTGCTTTTCCTCTATTTCTTTCTTTCTTTCTTCCTTCTCCTTCTCTCTCTCTCTCTCTCCCACCACTATAATATGGGTGTGCTGTAGCTGTAGTGGTGTAACGCGCACATCCTTGACTCTGATGGCTCGGACATATGCATCCAACCCCTTCTTCTCTTTTCCTTCTCCTACTCCATTTAAAAAGCACGTGGATTCTACCGAGCTGAGAATTACATGTATCTGTGGCTTAGCCAAGTCTTTTTCTGAGCATACTTCATCATATGAATACTTACCTATTGATATTATGATACCCCAAATCTCAAGGTGTGCGTGCTAAGGTGGGTGGATTTTTTTAGCTTTTCGGAGTCGATTTGGGGAAAAACCGGCAGTGACGACTCGCTTCTGTGCTCAAGAAAGGCGTGACCGAGAGGAAGGCGATTTCAAACGTACCGCTACCGTGTATACGAATCAATGGTAATTTATAAGTATTCGGGAGAAGCGGATACGGGGATAGCGTTCAGTGCTCTCACTCGTAAAAATCGGTTTTTTTTTTCCTAGGCCCTAGAATGACAACAATTTAATCAGAGGAAATTGAACTGAATGAGGGTCTTTTTTTTAAGCACATGATATTCATGTACTGCCGTTCAAGAACTTTTGAAAAGACAAGTGTTTTGTGTACAATACTATTTTCATATGTATTTTTTGTTTGTTTATGTGATGATGAAAAAATGTCAATAAAATTTCATCATCATAATATGAGTTTAATTTTTAAGTAAACAAATCGTGTTAGCGAATTCCTGAAGCTTGTTTATCGAAGCTTCTTCTCATCCTTACAAAATATATTCGATCTGTCGTAAAAATCTGTATTTATTAAACACGACAGTAAATTACATGATTTTAAAACGAGGCCTTGAGCTCTATTGCTAAGTGCATACAGAAAAATATATCAGTTGATTAGAGTGGATATTTTTTATTGGACCATTTTAATTTAATAAAAACTTGTTCAGTACATAGGAATAAATTTAATGAACAGTAAGTTGCAATAGAGTCATTATCTAGAAAATAATTATTTGTCAAACAATTTGATAACATTAAATGTAGCTCTTTTTGGTAGTCAAAGTAAACAAAACGTTACGTCTGATATAAAAAAAAAAAAGCAAAACTTTGCATTTACAAAGAAGCAACTAAATATTTGTAAAAAAAATGTACAAACAGAACAGAAAAACTCACCCAATACTGTCGTTTCGTTTCTGCGTCAGACTGCTCGGGTTGCTACCTACAAATGAATGAAAAAAAAAAAAAACTTTAGCAAGTTTTTTCTTTACTTAACACAATACCTAACAACAGCAGCACATCATCTCCAAGGCTATTCCATCTCTCATGTTGTGACATATACACATTACTTGTTACCACATGCACACACAACATAACCTACAGGGCAACGCGTCACTATATAGGTATATATATATATATGTCAGTCAATCACATCAACAATCAACAATAGAGACTATAGCGCTTGGAAAGAGGTAGACGACCTCAAATCGTTTGATATTTTTATCGATGCTAAAAAAACACGGCAAAGTATAGGATAATATCCGAGCGTTGTGACAATTACCTGGCATAGAATGGGCGATCGCAGACATTTGGATGAACATTCAGCCTGGGTTGCGTGTGCGGGAGAAAGGCCCACTCTTCTCTCTCTCGCTCGCTCAAGCCCTGCAGCCGGACTCTGTTCACAATAACCACCGCTGTATCATCGATCACAACCTTTAATTTTTGTTTATGATATAATGTCGTTCACTTTTTATCGATAAATAGTACACTTGACACGTGATCCAATAAATAACGTATTCATAGACCTATATGGATACTGTGTTTTTACGCGCTGCCCCCAGCAGCAGCAACTTCTCCGCCATTTTGGAGTTTTACTTCTGTCTCTCTCTTCCTTCCATTCCTCATTTTCCATCCATCCTCGCATATATATTGCTCTTGCTTCGTTTCTCGATTCGCAGAAAAGAGAGAGATTCCAGACACACATCAACAGTTTCTGACTTATCGACTAAAAATATTGTCTGCTGATGGTAATGCAGTCTGGTGACTTTATCGTTCAATCTACAAATATACTTATTTTTCGTGTAAACATAACCAAATTGGTCAAAGCTGCATGATTAAAACACATTTTCACTTTCTCCCAGCTTTTATTCAGTTTTGTGAAGGAAAAATTTAACTTAAGATCAACAAATTTCAATTAAATTCTACCTAATATGTTTCTAGTTTCCGTTAATCCGTTCAATGATGCATGTGTTTAGACGAGAAAAAAAGAATTACAAATTCTAATACATGATGGCTTTGTTTACATTGCATACATCTTAAGATAATGGAGTAAATTAATGTGGGTGGATGGTGTTGATCTGAAAATTCGTAGAATGATCAATGTAAGAATGAATGCCTTTAGTGACATAGCCATCGGTGAACCGGAACAAGATGCCAACACTGCTCTTATGGAACTTGACAAAGGTTTATTTGCTGTAAAAATTTATTGTATTAAATACCTTCTAATTGTCAATTAAAAAATCTATTTTTCTTTCAGCCTTGCGCTCCATCAAAATTGGAGAGCAATGCGAGGCTATTATACGATTTCCGAGACTTTTTGAAAAATATCCATTTCCTATACTGATAAACTCATCGCTTCTGAAGCTAGCGGAAGTCTTCAGGACAGGAAAGAGTAATTTTTTGAGATTATGGATTTTACGAGTTTGTCAACAAAGTGAAAAACATCTGGATAAAATTTTGAATGTCGAGGAGTTTGTTGGAAGAATATACAATGTCATGCATTCAAACGATCCAGTAGCCAAAGCCCTCACTCTAAGAACTTTGGGTAGCATTGCTAGAATAATACCGGAGCGAAAACAAGTAAACTTTTCATTTGATTATTAATTTTTAATAAAAAAAATAATAATAAAAAATTGTATTGTTTCATTTGCAGGTACATCACAGTATAAGAAGATCCTTAGATTGTCATGATTTGGTTCAAGTTGAAGCAGCTATATATGCTGCTCAAATGTTTGCAGCACAATCAAAATTATTTGCAATTTTCATGTGCAGTAAAATTTCCGACATGATCAGAGGTCAAGCTACCCCAGCCTCAATGAAGCTGCAGCTGATACCCATCTTGCAGTACATGTACCATGATATTTCTACAGCATCGATGGCTAATGAATTATGTATAGAATTACTTGAAAGCTATCCTGCAGTTGATTTTGTACGCGTTACATTAAGTACTTCAACTACTTTAGCTTCAGCTGCACTGATACATGTACCAGCCCAAGTCACATTACTGTTAAAATATTTGAGGGAAGATCCAAGACTGTCTATTAAACTGCATGCTCTCCAGCTTTTACATATTTTGGCAAAGAAAGGAGCTCATCTGTGGCCACAAGGTGCACTTAAGCAACTAATTGGTATTTATTTTAATTATTTAACTATTTATATGAAATAGTAATAATAATAATAATAATAAAAATATTCTAATAAATTTAATACTTTTTTTAGATTATTCATCAACTCTTTTACAAGATGATTCGAGGAATGTAAATTTATTAATTCAATCTTTAAAAGTCATTGAAGTTTTGAGTAACTCCCCCCTAACTTGTGATGCCAATATGGAAGAAGGAAGCCCGCTCATACGTTTGTGCTCGTCTGCTTTTTATTCCCCAAATCCAATTGTAGCTGTAAAAGCTGTTACAATTTTGTCTAGGATAGCGTGTTATTGGTAAAATAATCTTTGTTTTTGCACTTATGTCAAATGTACGAAATTTTTTTTAGTAACTGAATATTTTAAATTTTAGTTACGAGGAAGGATTACCCGTTTTCGATGTACAGCCTGTAGTCTCTTGCCTAGAATCGTTAATTATGCTGCTAGCATTAGACAACAAGTATTCGTATCAATTGAATGTATGCTTAAAGTTGACCATTAAACTATGCCAAACACAACGTAGTCATTGCGCTGTTTTCATCGACGCGATTGGTTCAACTCTCGTAAACACTACAACAACTAGCAAAGAAAACGATCATCAAGCTGTCACACTTTGTGAAGCTTTAGGAGCAATAGGAAGCTTAGGGGACAATATTTTGCTTCCTCTACTACCAGATATTCTTGTGAAAATTAAACAAGCGCCGCATACCCAGACTAAAGTGATGCTCTGCACATTACTTTTTCAAATAGTAGCTAACGGCTATGAATGGAACGATGAATGTTTGATAACTCTCGATTTTGTTGTCAAGTCCGTTGATAATTGGAACAAATATAAAATTGCACGCGGAGCTACGCGATATGGACATCACAAGATTGCATCTCGATTATTCAATGCTTTAAAAGAGGCAGTTGCTCTGGAGCAACTTCATTTTTGGTTGTCTGGCTTGGAATTAATGACGAGTGCCGAAAGTTATATATTGTAAGAATAAAAGAATTTTTTTTTTTTTCATTTAACGGTCATTAAGGGTTGTATGTATAAAAATAAATTTTTTTTTCAGAGATAATCCCGATGGCGAAAAGAATACGGTAAAGAAATTGAACAGTGCGATAGCTCGGTATGGTAGCGCTTGTGCCTCCTTTAAAGCTGCAAGTACACCTCTCAGGAGTTTGCAGTTTGCTTGTGATTATTCCAAACTACGCTGTGAATTTCTACAGGCACTGCTACAATTACTGCACTCCTGTAGGTCGTTGTGTACAGCTCCACCTTATGCTATTGCCACACATGAAGCAGTCACGGCAAAAGATGATTTACTCAGATACGGTCGTGTGACAAATCAGGTGAATGAATCGTTGGAATAATTAGGTTTATGTTTTTTGTCCATTGTATATTAATTGAAATGGGTTTTTCAGTTGCGGAAATCGATAAGCGAGTTACGAACTTGCGCCGAGAATTACCAAAAATTGTACCAATCTGCCTTTGATGCCGATCCTGGCTCATTGAATAACATAAGAGCGTATCCTTTTTTTAATCAAAAAATGTCATTCATCACATCATAATAAGTAAAATCTTTAACCGAAATTTTAAAAACAGTCTACGAGAACTGTGTTTGCTAATGGCGCAAAGCGTGCAACGAGTCTGCACAAGCAATCCAGCAAATTCGACTCCAGATAAAGAAGACAACACGGATACTCTAGGATCGCCCATCACTTCTAACTTTCATTTTGGAGATACACTTGAAATGCAGCAGCTGTCACGCTGCTGTGCCCAAATTCAGGAATTAGCGCCAGTCCCTAACGAGACCGTAACTGCATCTGACGTTGAGAGAAACGGCGTTAGTCATCTTCGAGTAGCCAAACTAATTACACAGGTCGAGTTCCTGACTAGTGGCAAATTTCAGCTACCTGTTCCTAGATTCTTTTTCCAACAACTCCAATCGACTAGCATCAAGCTCTCGGTAGCACCGCAACCACGTGTACTTGGTGAGCCTTTCTCTGTGCCTCAAGGTAGTCAGTTAGCCCTCAAGGTCGAGGGTGTATTGAGACACGGCAAACGAGCTTCGTTATACAGATCAGTATCAGCTATTTGCGTTACTATATCTACCACATCACCGTCCAAGACTGGTTTTGAGAAAAAGGTACATGAATATACAATAAAATTTATCTTTGATATTCAAAATTTTGCTAAAGCATCAAGTTTTTTTTTCTTTTTATTTCTTTAGGATTCAGGAATTAGTGATCTCGAGCAGACGGTTGTGCCTCATCGTGATTTCTTTGCTTGCGAGTTTCTACTGTCCTTTGCTCCTCAAAGCAATAATAATGCGTGCAGTAGTAACATTGGGAGTAATACATCGACCGGTGGTCAGTATCAGGTTACTGCAAGTGCTAACATAGTAGATGAAAGTGGAAATATTTGGAAATGTGGACCTCGATCAACTTTGCAAGTAAGAGTGTTTGAGGAACCCATGCGCAAAAAACTTTCGTAGACGTTTTATCTTAACGATAACCTTTTATTCCCATGTAAATTATTATAAAAATATAACGATCTGTACATTACATATTATACAATACTTTTCCATCACATGTAAAAATTTCATCTACAGAAATTAAAAAAATAGATTTGTAAATTTTCTAAAAATTATAATATTTGCAAACAATGCACAATTGTGTTATTAATTAAGTTATTCTTTGAAAAAATCACCTCTACTACCTCCCACCTTAGAAACTAACTCTATACCAGCTATGTGCATTGTATCAGGTGGAACTGCTGATTTACACATATCATATACCGTGAGAGCTGCAACACTCACAGCCACTAAAGATTCCATTTCTACACCGGTTTTTTCCGTACATTTAACTTCCGACGTTATTTCGACTCTGTGCGAATCGACACTCAATTTTAAATCAACTTTTACATAGTTGAGCGTTAATGGATGACAAAGCGGTATCAAATCCCAAGTTTTTTTAGCAGCCATTATTCCTGCCAATTGCGCAATTGTTAGAGCGTCGCCTTTTTTAATATTATTTTCCATTATTAATTGAGTAATAATAGCCCCAACGTAAATATATCCTCTAGCTTTAGCAATACGAACATTTTGACTTTTTGAACCCACATCTACCATTGCTGCTTTTCCTTCCTTATCTATATGAGTCAGCGTGGTGTACAATCTCTTTCTGCATTGTTTCACTTGATAACTTTGATGATTCATCGTACTTGGTAACACTGTTAAGTTGAGTATTCTGTTTCCAGGTGCCTTTAAATTATTATTTTTTCCGTCACCTGGAAAAAAAATATTGTTGGATGAATTTTTCGAAATATTTTTATAAAAGTCAACGAAAACATACCGATTTGAGAAAATTATAATCTCTAATACATGGTAAATTTTGAATCAAAATATTCTTATTTACGAAAAAAATTAACCACCAATCAGGATCATAGGTCTATTTTCCATTTGACTGAGGTTTAGCATTCCTAAAAAATTGGAAATAAAATTAAATGTTGTTTTATGAAGACCTACAAATCAAATTTGTGATTATTTTTTTTCTAACATAATTGTTGAATATAGTACCTGCATGCTGTTTCTTCTTTTTAAGTACTGCATTGCGAATAATAATTTTCAAGTCTTGGCTCGAAACATTGTTTCTCAAAGCATCTCTTAAAGATACCTCTCCTTTTCCTTCAAATAGACATACTTTCAAGTTGCCATCAGCTGTGATCCTTAATCTATTGCACGAATTGCAAAAATTCTCACTCATAGAAGTAATAAAACCTACTTGACCCATGTACCCAGGAACATGGAAAGCCTATAGTTAAAATTTAAAATCTACTAATAAAGTATATAAAAATTTATCTCTAACCAACTATAATTTCTTTTTTAATTTAAGAAATCGAAAATAAACAATAAATATTACCTTTGAGGTATCATTAGGCATATCAGATATTTTTTTAAAACCATGATATTTTCTTTCTATGATTTTTTTCATTTCTATGAATGGTACCATTTTATTGGTATTCCATTCATTTCCAGAGAATGGCATATATTCAATGAATCTTACGTCAATTGGTTTATTTTTTGTTAACTCTACAAAATCTGTAATTTCATCATCATTAAAGTTCCTCATTACCACAGTATTTATTTTAACGGGATTGTATCCTAATTGAATTGCCAAGTCAATGGAAGCCATAACTTTATTCCAGCCTTTTCGTCTAGTAAATTTTTCAAACCTATCTGGCTTCAACGTATCTAAAGATATGTTTAATAAATTTAAGCCAGCTCTCTGCAATGCAGGCAATTGCCTAGTCAATGTTATACCATTTGTTGTCATAGCAAGAGTTTCTAGACCTTCAAGACCTTTGAGCTGAGCTATAGAATAATACTTGAGTTAATTTTGACTATTGTATGTTAAAGACACTAAATTTATTTCATTTACCAATAATATCTACAATATCTTTTCTAACAGTAGGTTCACCACCAGTTAATCTGATTTTAGTAATGCCTTCTCTGACAAAAAGATTGGCTAGTTGAATTATTTCATCAGTTTTTAAAATATTTTCATTTCGAGTAAGTTCAACTCCACTGGAAGGCATACAATATGTACCTGGAATATCGAGACTTGTGTTCATACAAGGAAGTGTTGACTAAGGGCCGAAACCGTATATTGTGCATGTCATCAGCGCATCACAATACTGATAGTAATTGCAAAACAGTTCCTGAAGTGTTGGCACAGTATACGGTTGTATACCCTTAGTCAGTACCTAGATGCAATAGTAAACTGCAGTAAGTAGTTGATAAGAAACTCGTTTTAATTCTTACATCTTAAATTACATCTTTCTGTTATTGAAATTCTCAAATAAGTGTGATGGCGACCAAAAGTGTCTGTCAAAATAGAAGATTTAGCATCCTGGCATAATTCATTCCTCAGTTGTTTGAGCTTAAATGTAAAAAATAAAGAAAAAGACATTTTGGCAAAGTAATAAAATGTATCTTACTCTGTTAAGAGACTTTGTGGCTAGCTTTGTCGTGGAGTATTTGGCTGCAAGTGCCTTGATTCCGTTAAATTTTTGTAACATGCTCATGAAAATAATAAAACGAAGTATGCAGGGTGTAAAGTTAAGAGGAAAAAAACAAAACCATAAAATCAACAAACAAAAATAGAAATAGAATTAACAGCTGGCAAGAAGTTTACAAGTTAAAGCCGGGGTATCTTTTGTTTCGTGATAAGAATTTATTACTCTTTAAAAAGTTCGAGAAGTGTAATATGACTCCTCTGCTTGCTCCCCTTCCATTCTCCTTCACGAAAAATTCCGTAAGATAATAAGTATGTGTGAGAGAGAAAGAAAGATAAGAGACGTGCGAATAGCGCGGAGTTGCTGTAATGACCAAAATGAACAGTATATACTATACAGCTACACAATGTCACAATGTATAGGTAAGTGTTAAAAATAAAATATGTAAGAAGATAAGCAAGTAAGCAGGTAAGCACCTATAGAGCACCTACACCTACTGCAACCAGCGATCGCCACGGAGAGAAAGGAAGAACGAAGTCGTGAACTGTATTCATGCTCAACTGCAGATCATCATTTAGTGTGTGCCGACATTTCTTGCTCCTTTACTAAGTAAGCGATTTTAAGTATTTATTAAGTACATACCTACTTTATGATATTATTATTTATTTGCATGAAATCATTATGTTGACCATTTTTTTTACTGCTTGCTATTTGAACTCCGCGCGCTTCATCCACAGAGAGAGGAGTGCTGCAGGTATAGAAACTGGAATCTTGTTCTTGTAGAACAATAGTGCACTGCACTGTGTGTGCATGTAATACGTATACACTGAGTACAAAGCATTTTTTTTTGCAAAGGAACCATATACATAGGTATGTCAAATTGGCCCTCTATCGCCCTATGTTGGCCCTTTACGTGTTCTAACACTTCTAACCAAAACAAACCTGACGTGTAGACACGTGTACCAATCGCTTTATCGCTTCCAAGAGTTCCAAGTATATGATATATATATATACGTATGAGTACACAGGACAGCACAGGATAGAAACAAAATAAGGGAGAGAGAAAAAACACATTCAAAGTGAAAAGCGGAGTCGGCGCACAGTTCGGAGTATGCCGTATAGTAAGTGATGCCTTACGCCTTACGTGGAGTGTCGACTTGGTGGATCGCTGGATTCGCTGGACGTTGATTTGATTGGCAGTAGAAATCAGAAATTGGTTTGAATTAAAACGCCGGCTGATGCACATATATTACAACATACTTAGTTTTATTGATAACAGGCAGTGCAGGGAATCCCAGTGCTAAGAAGAGTTGTACTTCGTGACGCTGCTGGGCCTTTATGCGGCAACAACTTCATTTTGGCTGCTGAAGTACGCTTGAAGAAAGTTAGTGGAAATTTTTTTATTTTTTATTTCATTTAACAGCACACGCCTTTAGTCTATAGTCTATTAAGTTGGTTGTGTAAATTGCGTCAGATTCTGATTTAGTCATGATTAAGATTAAGTCATGTGATTATTCTTGTAAAAAAAAAAAAAAAAAAACTAAGGTTAAAGTTACTAAATAATAATTTTGTAATTTTTTTTTTTATCAGAATGGGTGACGAAAGTCCACAGCTAGATCCATCGGTAGATAAAAAAAATTTCACACCAAGGCCTTACCAAATCCAACTGTACCAACAGGCAAGTCGAGAAAACAGCATAATTTATTTACCGACCGGTACTGGAAAAACTTTCATTGCAGTACTGTTGATAAAGCACATGAGTGGCGATGTCATTGAGTAAGTGTCAATTGATTTGGTTTTATGTATATATATTTTCCAAGTAATTTATTTTGATTGAAAATAATTTTTATTTTGCCTGCATTAATTGTTTATTATAACGAGATAACATTTTTTTTTTAATTTAGAGATTACCGCAAAAGTGGAAAAAGAACTATATTCATTGTCAATACTGTGACTCTGGTACATCAACAATCCGCATTTCTCAATCGTCATACAGGCTTAGTATGCAAAGGGTATAGTGGAGATATGCAGGTAGATTTTTGGATGAAAGAACAATGGTATGAAGAATTATATAATAATCAGGTACTGTTTTAAAGAAAATTTTGATTTTTTTTAATTTGAAAAGACATTGAATGAATATTCTTTCAGGTGCTGGTAATGACAGCTCAAATTTTTGTAAACATCTTGTTAACAGGTGTAATGTCTTTGAAAAAAGTCAACTTGCTTATTTTCGATGAGTGTCATCGGGCTGTAAAAGATCATCCTATGCGGCAAATTATGCAGATGTTTGAAAAACACCATAAAGATGAACTACCAAGAGTATTAGCGATGTCCGCCAGCTTACTAAATTCTAATGTTAAGTTACAGCATGTTGATGTTTATGTTAAGGTAAATAAAATAAAGTTACCAAGTAACTAAATTCAGTATGTTGCCAATTGTTTGCAATAAAATGATCTTTTTACTTTTAGGATTTGGAAGCAACGTTTCATTCGAAAGTAACCACTGTTGAATCACTTGAACAAGTTTCCAACTTTGCGACTAATCCTCATGAAAGAATCGTATACTATGAATCACCCCCAGAAATAGATATTCCTGGCATTAAATATATTATGGATACAGCAAAAGTAGTTCTTGAAAATTTAGATATCCCCAATAAATCCAGAAATTTAGCAAGTAGCCATGTTTTCTCTCCACAATCAAAGACAGTGAAATTGAGTAATTTACTAACTGATGTTATTGATCACATCAAAGAAATGGGGCTTTATGGTGGAAACATAAGTATCTTGTACCATTTAATACAATGTGAACGTCTCAAACGATACTCGGATGACCAAGTATGTATGTTAATATTGTTGAATAATTCTCTATAAAGAAGATTTTTAAATGGACCAATTTTTCAGAAATTTATATATATCCTTGATTTCATTATCACGCAATTGTGTAAGATCCAGAAGATGATTGGTGATAAATTAAAGAATTTCAAAGGAAAAGATTTGATTTTAAGGTGATAAAAATAAATTTAACTGCTTTGTTAATTTACTCAAGCAATCTTGTAAGTTACATTTAAAAAATGTATTTTCCAGATATTCAACACCAAAAGTTATTAAACTTGTCAGTATTTTAAAAGATTATTATTCAAGAAATAACGATAAAAAATTTTGTTGTATTATTTTTGTCCAAAAAAGATTCACTGCTAAAGTCCTGTACAAGATACTACAAGTAAGTAACCACTAAAGTTAATACTCAAACTCTAGAGAATAATTGATTTATTTATTTAGGATCTAGGTAGCGCTGATCTAGAATCGAAATTCATTCTTCCTGAATTTATTGTGGGATATAACAACGATCCCTACAAAAATCCAGGAGAGCTAGAGTGCCTTGCTAGGTGGAATAAGCAAGCATTGGCTCGGTAAGAAAAATAAAAATTAATATTTTTAATAATAGATCTTTTCCTTCTCTTTCTTTACATGCTCTTTTCTTACAGATTTAGAAGTGGAATTAAAAACTGTCTTGTAGCCACCGATGTTGTTGATGAGGGTGTTGACATTCCTTCCTGTACTTTAGTGATTCGTTATTACGCGCCAATGGATTTTCGAGCTTACATCCAAAGTAAAGGTAGAGCTCGACACAGTACCAGTCACTTTATTATTCTAGCAGAGAATCAAAAAGATTATGATAGCCGTTACAACAATTATGTACAAACTGAAAACTTTTTGCGTCGGGTATGTTACACATTTACCAGCAATAAGAATGTGAAAGACTATACATGCTTTATTGTATTTTTCTTTTCGAGATGTTACATGGAAATACTGATGCCCGTTCCCAACCCTCAGCAGAGGAAATAGCAGCCGTACTCTATGACTACAATATTCCACCATATAGAATAAGAAAAAAAGATGGTTCAATGAGCATTATTACAGAACAGTCATCCATACAACTTGTAAACAGTTACTGCGCATCTTTATTAAAATCGCAATTTATCATGCTGAGCCCTGCATGGGTCTTAAAGTCTAGAAACACCACCAAAATTTCAGAAGATTGCAAAGAGTATAGCGTAAGGATAACCAAACACATGATTATCCGTTAGTATTTGATTATTGAATTTATTTCGTTTGTGCTCTACAGGTTGAAATAACTTTACCACCAGTATCACCTTTGAAAGAAACAATATGTGGTGATTATATGGAATCAATCGATCTTGCCAAAAGATCAGCCGCAATGAAAACATGTATAAGATTGTATGAAATAGGAGAACTGACGGAAAATTTGCAGCCCAGGAGACCAGAGGATGCAGTAGAATCTGTGGACTATTTATTCCCATACATGAGAGATGAATTTAAAGACAAGGCTAACATGCCCGGAACAAAAGGAAAAAAAAGACGCTATTTTTTCAAAGTATGTAAAAATATTAATTAAAAAAAATCCTGATTCACTGTTTTGTGTGTATTGTACAGTAAACATACAGAAATAATTGAGGTTCGAGCTTCAAGTTTTGATGCCTATACTGTCATTTATGAAAATTCAACTAAAATAATATAGCAAGATACAATATGTTTTGAAAATTTATTTCCCGTTTCAGTACCCTGAAGCATTGAAAGCTGCTTATCCACAGGCTGGAAAAAAACAATATTTGCATGTACTAAAAATGAAACCTATGTATGCTCAGCCAATGGACAATCGGCATAACGCATTTTATAAACTACTGAAGAATGATGACACATTTGCTATTTTATCATCAAAACGTATGCCAGAAATGTTCTCTTTTCCAATATTTTTGAATGTTGGAGAAATAGAAGTTTCAGTCGTCACAAACAAACAGTATCAACTGCCTCTAACACATAACGAGATAGAGTCACTAAAATGCTTCCAATACACGATTTTTGAAAAAATCATTGAAAATGGAAAAAATTTTTTACATTTTGACCAAGGCGCAGGGGATTACAGTTTTTTACTTGTTCCAAGTAAGTATTCAAAAATACATACTATAGTAAGGATTATGCTTTTTAATAAAAAAAAAAAAAAAAAAAAAATTATTTTTTTAGTAAATGAGAGTGAAACTATTGACTGGGGAGTCGTTAATACAGTTGTGACAGAAGTAAATTGCTGTTATTCTGGAAAAATTAAATCTGTCAGTTCTGATTTGCCAATGGTCTTAAAAAATTCTATTTATGATTCAGCACTTATCTTCCCAAAGTATAGGAATCCTATTATATACATCGTTACAGAAGTTTGCATAGATAAAAAGGCAGAATCTCCCTTTCCTCAAGACAACTATACTACTTATGTAAACTATTATCGAGAAAAACACCAAATTCATATAAAATATCCAAAACAGCCCTTATTGGAGGTGAAACAAATTTCAAAGAAGATAAATTGCATCAAACCAAGGTAAGTCTCGATTAATATTCAACCTTGTAAAATAGTTACTTACAGAATATTTCACGCAGGGCGATAAAACCAAATTCAACCCGTAAAAAACGAGCATATGAAACTGAAGATTTTGAAGAGCACATGGTGCCTGAATTATGTGAAAGATACGAATTTCCATCAGTTTATTGGCTCAAAGCCACAACTCTGCCATCTATTTTACACAGAATCAGTCAATGGCTGATCGCAGAAGAACTGCGGAATGAAATAGCAGCATACATGTACCCGCTTATACAAAATCCAAGTCCCAACCATAAATGGGAACCATTAAAAGTGGACGAAACTTCTAATATATTTGAAAAAAAAGAGAAGCGTTATGATGTTGATGATGATGATGATGATGATTATGGTGATGATGACGATGATGTCGATGATAAGAATGTAAATGGTAGTGATCGAAATGGTCAAGTGCCAAAGTTAACAAACGTGGAATTGGGATATGCAAGTAATTAATTTTCAATCCCGCATGTTTTTAATTTATAATCACACAATATACATACAAATTTGCTTTTTTTTTTCAATTAACAGTTATAAATCAAGAAATGGGCTCGACTGGAAAGGAATTACTAGATATTGAAAGATATCCAGAAAATGCCAATATTTTATCTATTGAAGAAGAAAAAAAAATTTTCACGTCTTTGGTAAAAGACCTTTCTGAAGTAGTAAGTGATTACATACAAAAATTATCCCTAACATACATGTTACATGTTTTTAACGACCTCGAAATAATTTAGAAAATTCAAGAAAAAGCAAAAAAAGAAACTAACAGAAAACATTTCAACGTGCCTGTACCGCCATTAAAAATGCTTAGATCTGTTAATAAACATGGTCCTAGTCCCGTTGACATAATGAAAGTAAGTGTATATTTAATTATGCTGTGAAAAATTTACTTTTCTATTGCAATTTGTTTTAGAGTCTAACGGCCAAAATGAGTAATGATTTTTTTGACTTGGAACGTTCAGAAACTTTGGGTGACTCATTCTTGAAATATGCAGTGTCGCTCTATTTGTTTCAAAACTATCCTAATTTTGGTGAAGGGTCAATGACTTACCTCAAAGGAAAGTTGGTGGGAAACTTAAATCTATATTATTGCGGTGAAAATAAAAAATTAGGAGGGCGCATGAAAATCGAAGACTTTGTACCGTCTACCTCACCAATTCCAGCATTTGTTATACCCAATGAAATAAAAAAACGCGTATACGAGGAAGAGGTACATATTTCAAAATTTCTTAGAGCACCTGTTGTACAGGAATATCTTTTTTGTGTTTTAACTTATACGTATTGTTAATACAAGCATTGTCTTTGTTAAAGATTGCTAGCAGTGTATTATATGAAATGTCAATTCCCAAAACACAGCAAATTACGGGGTGTATATCAGCTGATACAGTTAGAACTATGCATGAAAAAATTGATAAGTGGAAAAAAGCTACTTCTATTTCTGGCATGGAACATTATTTCGGATTTCAAGTAGTGTCTGATAAAACAGTTTCTGACTGTGTTGAGGCTTTAATCGGCACATATTTACTTGTAAGTTTTTCTTATTTAAAATTAAGAAAAAAAAAAAAAATTATGAGATTGTCAATAATTGATTACAGAATTTGGGTATACCGGGAGCATTAAAAATTTTAATGTGGTTTAACATCTTACCACAAAACCTTGATGAGGAAAAATATTTGCACCCTACTGTTCCAGATCCCCGTTTGGGTCTTGGAAATGTTAACGAACATCTGCCGTTAGCTGATAAAATAGAAAAAAATCTAGGGTACAAATTTAATAATCGAGCCTTTTTACTGCAGGTAAAGAAAAGCTTTACTATTTTCATGTAAATTATAAAAATTATGTGCTCAGAATTTTTTTTTTTTTTTTTAAGTCATTAAACTTGTCAGTATTTTAAAAGATTATTATTCAAGAAATAACGATAAAAAATTTTGTTGTATTATTTTTGTCCAAAAAAGATTCACTGCTAAAGTCCTGTACAAGATACTACAAGTAAGTAACCACTAAAGTTAATACTCAAACTCTAGAGAATAATTGATTTATTTATTTAGGATCTAGGTAGCGCTGATCTNAAAAATTAAAAAAATTTTTTTAAATATCCACTGTGGGAGACCCTTGATTGTTTAATATTTTCATTTTTTTTTTTTTTTTAGATTTTCTTCTGACTGTGCATATTTTCGAAACATGTGGTAATTTATCGCCTGGTGAATTGACGGATTTGAGATCAGCTCTCGTAAATAATATTACGTTTGCCTGCTTGGCAGTTAAATATGAACTCCATGCGTCAATGTTGATGCATGCACCCAAGATGTTCGACCTAATGGATCGTTTTATTCGTTTTCAAGAAGCAAGAAACTACGCTGTTGATGATGAGGTAAATAATGCCCTGTTTAGAAAATTAATTTTTTTAGCGGCAATTTTTTGAACACTTACAAAGCGTGTTGTGTCATAACGGGCGTCTATAAAATTAATCTGGTTTTAATTCCATTATACTTTGATACCTACTTCATACTTGCAGTTGTTGTGGGTACTTTTAGAAGAAGAAGACTGTAATATGTCAGAACATGTGGATGTACCAAAAGTCCTGGGGGATATTTTTGAATCTGTGATTGGAGCAATTTTGTTAGACTGCAATATGAATTTAACAGTAGTTTGGCAAGTGATATATCGTTTGATGAAATCCGAAATCGGTAAGATCATGATGTATACTGTAGATTGCTCAGTATTGACTAAGTAAAGATAATACCTAACAAGGAAACAATTTTTTTAGATTTATTTAGCCAGAAAGTTCCAAAGCAACCAATTCGAGTTATATATGAAACAACAGGGGCAAATCCAGTCTTTTCGTGAGTTAATTTAGAATGTTTATTTAATACTTGTTAATTATTTCAATTTTTACGATTTTAAACAATATTGTTTATGTACAACTTTAGGAAAGGTCAAATAATGAAAGGAACGGATGCGATCATGATTACGTTAACTATTATTTCTAATGGAGAAAAGAAACGTTTCCATGGTTTTGGTAGCACAAAAAAGTTGGCTCAATGTGCTGCCGCTAAGCAAGCGCTTAAATATTTGCGATATAGAAAATAATTTTCTATTTAAGCTGGTGCATATTAATGTTATAGAAATAGAAAGGTTTGAAGACTGATCTATTTAATACATGATTGAATAATTTTCTAAGAAAACTTTGTTAACTAATACATTTCGTGCCTATAATGATGTTGATTGAATAACTATCTTCGACGCTTCTCAATAATAAGTCTCTTAAGAAGTGGAAGATATAACATCTTCTGCTTCCACTGCACCCACTCAGACAAAAAAAGGAATTGTATTCATAAGCTACCCATAGAATGATTATTAAAATTAGCCTGTGATTGTAACCCAAAAATAAGATATTTATATATTGATATTCTTGGACAACTTATGTTCACTTTTTTATTCATGTTAAGATTCGCGTTTTTGGTTTGGTAGGGCTAACACATTTGTACATGGTTAATCTATGACTTAAGGCGCGAGTCTAGGCTAATTTTTCAAGGAGTTTATAATATGAATATCTGTCTTCCAAAGATTAACAAAAAGGTTTACTCTGCTTACAAGCAAACAATAAATAAATTTATTTACGTACATGTAGATGCTTGCAAGCAGCGTGAATATTTTTGTTCACATTACAACTCAGGATACTTTTTAAGGCTAAGAATTTATTTTTAAAATATTCAATCAAGAAGCAAAATAATTATTAAATATTTTAACCCACTGACAATATATCAGTCGGTATACAAAGTATACGTCTCGTAACTGAATATTGTTCGGTTCAAGGACATAGAGATTACTTATACATGTATTGTGAGACATGTTGTCTGTTGATTTTGCTAAAATGAAAAATAGAGAATTATTTCTTAAATAAGTAATTTTGTTGAAATCATGCAAATAAATTTATTCGTCACGTTTCTAATAAAAAAGTTATTTTTTTCTTTTAAACAATCCACACAAATAATAAAAATTCAGAAACCCGTATGAGAAACTGTTTAAATTTATATTTACACTGTGATAAAAAAACGCTTATTATACAAAACTTACTCATAACATTAATTTTCCGCTTTACGTTTTTTCAATGACGGCCGATCAAACACGTGCTTAACACCAGCTGCTGCGTTATTGTGGAACTTCAAATTTTGAGCGGTTTCGGAAATCCAAGGTGAGTCAAAGATTGTGGTATCTTGATCAACCAGATGAGTGTACTTGGTCCTGCCACTACGGCCAAAGTTCTTGACCTGCATCACCTTGGGCAGGATGGTCTTGTCGAAATGATCCTCAAGCGTAGCGCCAGAGAAGTCTCGCTTGAAAATTGTATCATCCTTATCCAGATAAAAGGCACCGCGATGGTAGTACTTTTGTAGAAATTTATATTTGCCCTTGGCTGCCTTATTCGTAACGACTTTGGGATTCATGCGAGCCTCTTGTCTGCGCTCTTCTTCAGTCATGTTGCGCAACTTCTCTATCTCCAAGCGTTCCTTCTCCACTGCCTCACGCTCCTCTCGATCACGCTTGTTCCGCTTGAGCTCACGCAGCTTCCAAGCCTCGTACTCGAGCTCGTCGTTCTCGTCCTCGGTGTTGACGTCGTTAAGATGTCCCTCGTTTTCATATTTGCTCGTGCGTACTTGGTCTTCTTGTCGTATGGATTCCTCGACCATCTTCAGGGTGCACTTCTTTCTTTCCTCGGCAAGCTTTTTAGCTTCTATTTCTGCCAGCTTCTGTTTTTGAGCTTCTTTTTCTTTCTCCATAACGGTGATCCTGTCGCGTTTCCTCACGAACACGGGTTTTAATCTGGGACCCGTTTCCTCTTCAGAATCAGTGTATTCTTCATACTCTGAACTGGATTCGCTACTATCCCCGGACTTTTCATCTTCGTCATCTTCCACGACGAGCTCCTCTTCACCATCTTTGCGCGACAGAACCCTCTGCTTGAGTGCCTCTCTTCTTCTCTCTATTTCCTCATCGGAGAGCTCCTCTTCGTCAGACGACTCAGAGCTGTCGAGTCTGATGCGTTCTTTGGCCGTTTCCTCGGCTTCATCTACTATGAGCACTTCTGGTTCTTGTATACGTCTCCGTCTTTCTATCCGGAGCTCATCATCGTTGTCACGTTCTTGTTCCAATCTTGTGAGACGTCGCAAGCGAGGATCATCTTCGTCCCTGTGTTCTTGTTCTTCGATCTCTGGAGGCTCGAGAACTCCTTCGGTCTCGTCGTGGGGACGTCGCTTGTCAAGGAAGTCATCTTCATCTGATTCTTCGTCCGAACTAGCCGTGGGTGCATAATCTGGTCTTTTACCCGATACGTAACGATGCACCTTTACCTTCTTCATAGAAACCTCACCTACAACGTGACAATCAAATTTACAATCGATAATTCAGCATAAAATGTACCTATGAGCATTGTTTATTTCGACGGCTTTTGTACCTTTGTCATTTTTGACTGGAACAGCACCAGCTGTACTCTGAATTCCTGTTGGAGCAGGAGCCAGAGAACTGTTGGTTACGAAATAGTCCATCATCTTGACGGCTGTGTTTGTGTAACTTTGACTCCTTGGTTAGAACACTACGGTAAAAAATATCGTTACAATTATTTATGTAAGTTGTTGAAACTTCTTTGGCACGTAACTTTTTTTTATACACCATCAAAGAGGTCTTACGAAAAAATAGTAAACATTATGTACTACCTATATCTACTTACGATTACAAGTTTCTTTTAACTGCTTTGTTTTGGATTATTACAGAATACAAAAATTACGTGTCATACATATGATACAGTAGAATATAAACTACCCAGTCTACCATAATAAACAATAAACATCAGCGACTAACAAGTGTATTAATTTGTTTACCAAGTTGACTATAACTACATACGTGTACGCTGTGTACAGTATGACAGTACAATACTAACTCATAGTAGGTTTCACATACTTATATATGTATGTGCATTCACTACGTAATTATACGTTACTGACAATATTGTCATACCAACAGAAGGTACATAGGTCCAACGTCGAATCAACGGCGGATGGTAGTGTAGGTTTCGATGGCTTTTTGTTTTTTTGTCTACCGCTGTGGTGGCGCTGTTGATGCTTTTCATGAGCTCTAGAGTATAGGGGCAAAATTGAAAAAAAAAAAAAAAAAAATCCTGACTTGCGAGCTTACGCGTGAGGTTTACCACTTGAAGTGAGGTTGAAGCAATAGAGAGGTGTAATTAACTTGATTTTTACCAATTTGACGTTTAGTGAAAATTACAAGAGGACTAATTATCCCTCTGTAAAAACGAAGCCATTGTTCAGTGTTTTCGTATAACAGAGCCACATTGTGTGTGACATTTTGTATTGAATCGCTTTTAATGTGTCTTTTATAGCAAAAAAAAAAAAAAAAAAAAAAAAATCACATCCAATGAACAATTTATGAATAGTCAAAGTTTGACGAGATATGTAATATTAAAAAACTCTCACGTCATTTCTCTTCAAAATATAATAAGTTTATTGGAACAAACACGTTTTATAAATATGTATGTACTACTTAAACATTTTTCACATCGGATTTTTTTATTAAGTATAAAATAACTTAAGTAATGATTAGAACTGATTAGCACTGCAAAAATGGAAGTACACTTGAACTGTAAACCTCCATTATCGAATAAATTAAAGAAAAAAAGGACACACACGAATGTGAGAAAAAAAAAAAAACACGCGTGAGTCAGTAGCACTATTTACACTTGTACTTACACGTGGAACAACCAGCTCGTATTATTTTGCATAGGTACTTTTTGGTACAATAATTAATTTTTTACAGTTTAAGATAAATCCACGACACACGCGTACGTTAAACGTATACCCGCATGGAAAAAAGGCAGTAGGTGTAATATGCGTACAAAAAATTTAAAAAAAAACACACACATCGGGCACTCATTAACACCCTTAGGCTTTGGTTTCCGGACACGGCTGGCGCACGTAAGTTCGAAATCCCTTGTGGGCCTGAACCAAACTGCCGACAATCCGGACTTTGGTGTCGTGAAGGACGTCCAGCATCGCTTCCCTCGAGCCCTTGTCCAGAGCCTCGGTGTACCTCTCGAGAAGTGCGAGGTCGATTTCAGTCACGTCGTCCAAATCCTCGGCCGCGCTCAACACCAAATTCACGTCGCACGCCAACGACTCCACACTCGGGTCCTTTTGCATTATCCTAAAAAAAAAAAAAAAAAAAATGTCTTCACTCACAAAAATAACCAGCGACTGCAACGTCGCGTATTTATATTTTTTGCGCTTTATTAGGATAAAAAGCATATATAAATGTACCTATACGGAGGGATATACAACAAGTGATAGCTGCGCGAAAGCAAATCCTTCAGATTCCAGCTTCGGCTAGCGCACAGTGCACATTATAATTTATCAATGCAAATTGAAATTCTACGATAGTTATCCCCACATCCTATTATTTAGAGTATATAATAAACGTACGTATGTGGATATATCTAATTTGAAGCAAAGTGAACGGCCCGTGGGCAAGCAGATTAAAAATCCCATACCTAGTGCTGAATTGCTAATGATAGCCATACATGTATGTATACATATACATCGCGTCCACCGTGTGAGTCACTATCCACGTACGTGCATTTATATGCGTATGTACATACACTTTGCTCTCTTTCCCCATAATAAAGTGTGTTCAAGTATATATGCGTGCTATACTTATCAACAGAATCCTGTTCCTATATGACGCTGCTTGTTATTATACTCTGTACGTATTACGCATTACCGGTAACTTGGGAAAACAGAACCCACATCACATCGGCGCCTTCTTTTGTGTGTATAGAATGAACAGAGAAAATTGGAGGAAAAAAAAAAAGGTGTACGTGTATATATACCCGGGAGATTTTTCTCGCGCGCATAATGCAGTGCCGATTTTTCTCAATACATGCACGCGTTTCTCCGTTAAGAAAAGAAAAAAAAAAAAAAAAAAAAAAACTAAGGTTAAAGTTACTAAATATAAACAATAAATATTACCTCA